AGGCGGAAGAGATGCAAATAAGTGGGCAATCTTCACTCTATAGCAAGTAAATAATTGAACAAAAGTCACAATAGGATAATGGTAAAAGATGTAAGCTTTGGAATCAAACTCTCTGGGTTGAATGCCTGACCTCAGTGACTTGAATTATGTAGCCTCTTTGTGGCTCAATGTCTGTGAATAAGAGCTAATAACGCCCACCTTACTTGAATATTGTGAGGAGTTAATATACTCAAAGCGCTTAGAAGAGTGTCTGTTGTTTAGAAAGCACTCTATTTTTACCTCCAAAAAACTACTTGAATTCATCTTTTTTTCCTCCAACGCCACTTCCTAGTTGAGATGGCCAACATCCATGACCTGGACTTAGCTGCAGACTCCTATTTGATCTTCACTAGCTGGTGTGTTGCCTGGATAAGCCCCTGCCACACCTCAGTACACCTGCCTCTTCGCTGTACACAAGGAGATTGGCTTTACTCTGCCTGTTGGTGTTTTGGAGGAGATGTGGTGCATGCATTGTACGTTCTTTTTATGATGAGAGTGAAGGAGAGGAGAGGGAAAGAGGTTGCCAGAAACTGATACTTGGCTGAGCCAAGTCTCCTGGGGAGGGAACAGGTTCAAACTGCTGTGGGATGCAATGACTTAATCGCAATTAATGATGGCTGAAATGGTTGTGCTATTAATGAGGCAAGAGATAAAGATAAAAGAATAATTATAGTGTATTAGTGCCATGAACAAGCAGAAATAGCAATTGTGGTTATTCTTGCAATGAAGAGTCACGGATACGTTTTTGTGTTCAGAAATGGATGAGGAAAGAGACAGGAACAAATACAGGCGATAATCCCAGAGAGAATATGAAAGGGTGCCTGGGTGGAAGATTACGGCTGGAAGAGGAATTACAATAGAATTGCCAGCACAAAGCCATTTCTCCACAGAGGGACAGTCCCAGTGCTGAAGCTACCTGTCAACTGATAAGACATCTTGAATTTCAAGGGGATCTAGTGATGACACATTGAATCCTTTTGGTGCCTTTTCATCAGAAGTGGGAAATGTCTATGTGAAATCAGACCTTCCAAATGCTGACCTCATGAAGGACTCCTGATTGCGGGCAAGACATAGAGCTGCTTCTGCCAGGGGGATTTTTTTTAACATTTTTTATTGATTTATAATCATTTTACAATGTTTTGTCAGATTCCAGTGTAGAGCACAATTTTTCAGTCATACATGAATATATATATATTCATTGTCACATTCCTTTCTCTGTGAGCTACCATAAGATCTTGTG